CAGAACAAATTGGACTCCAAATTAACATCGCAAAAACAACAATTCTAGACCTTACCAACAGTTCAGTTGATATCACGCTGAACAACAACAGCCTTGAAAAAGTCAACATTTTCACTTATCTAGGGAGCAAGATGTCATCTACAGGAGATACCGCACCAGAAATACCATTTAGAATAGCACTGGCATCTAGTGCCTTCAATAAACTGTCCAACATCTGGAAATCAAAGACACTTAGCAAACACACAAAACTCAAGATCTTCAATTCTTGTGTGATTCCAGTACTAACCTATGGATGCGAGAGCTGGAAATCAACGAAAACTCTAGACATAAAATTAGACAGTTTTGAAAATAAATGCCTTAGAAGAATACTAAATTTCAAATGGTCAGATTTCCGAACAAATACACAAATAAGGCAAGAATCCAGGCAATTTTATACGAAAACGCCGCTGGAACTATGTCGGCCACGCCCTTAGAATGGATAAATCAAGACTTCCTTACCAAGCCCTCATTTGGACACCACAAGGGAAAAGATCTCGTGGAAGACCAAGGGAAACCCTACGTAGAACTATCATCAGGGAAGGCTCACTCATGGGCCACTCAAACATCCAAGACCTACAACAGATTGCAACGAACCGCCATGCATGGAAAGTCATGACCTCTGCCCTATGTGCCGCACTCGACACAAGAGGAAAGACTAACTAACTAACTTCTAGCAATTTCCTCTGGTCTCTGGATAGTAAGACCCGTGTGTAGCTACTATTGTGCACGTAAAAAATACCTTGGCAGTTGGAAATCGAAAGAGTAGCCTAACGGCGCTACCCGGCATTATCTGTAGTTTAAAATCTACCCAAAATATTTCAGGAGCCTCGCAGGTGCCACGGAGTTCGTGCACTGCCTCTAATGATTGTTTTCATGAGAAGCTGGTTATAGTATCTCCTGTCATTACCTCGAAGACGGCATAAACGTGCTTCACCAAGCTTAACTCCTCGATCACGCAATCGTGTTAGCTTCAGAGATTCAACATTACTCCCAAACTAGTCTGTACAGCTTTGATGTATCTATAACATGCTCCTGCACTGCCTCAAGTCTACCATACTTCTGAATCCATCTTGTCATTACTCGCATAAATGATGACGACAGTGGGCTGTCTGGTGCCTCGGACGTACATATCACGCACCTGTATGCTGATATTATTCCAAATTTATGTCAGCCTCTGTGGAATGGATGTCCTTCCTGGCCAATATTCATCATTATCATCATAAACACGTCTGTCGTTAAGCGCCGTGGGGGGGGGGGGGGGGGGGGGGGGGGGGGGGGGGGGGGGGGGGGGGGGGGGGGTGGGGGTGGGAGGGGGGGGGGGGGGGGGGGGGGGGGGGGGGGTTGATAATTTGGGTTGATAATTTCGATCATGTGCACGTGTTCAGCCATTAGACCATATTTATGGTCAGGCTATATTGCGGCCCCTGGCAAGAGCCTGGGTGGGGCTTCAAATATAGAAAAATTGCATCCCACAAGGGAATGACAAATTAAGAAGAAGAAATGGGGAGTCTTCACACCATGCACTCAGCACAGAAGCTGTCCCATGGAACCGAATGTTGTTTTTACCTCATTTGTCGTCCCATCCAGTTTTCACACTAAGGTTTGAAACCCCAGTCTTTCCGTGGATTATTGGATAAAACAGAGTCCACTATCTGAAGGTGAGGTAGACTTGAGAAGTAGAGGCTAGGAAACATTAAAAGTCTTGTATTGTGCGTCACTGCACCATTAGGACCCCAGCTTGATGGTAAAAGTAGTCTCGTCGCAGTTACTGATGCTAGCGTGTGAAATCTTTGTGCTTTATTAATACCCTATCCCAAAGAGGAGAAGTCCACAGGTCACGGGGCAGTCTAATTTTTCAGGGGCTGGTAGATAGGCTGCATGCAGTTATTGGACCTAGGCTGCATGCAGTCATGGGACCTAGGCTGCACTCTCTCGTGGGACGTAGGTGGGTTGGGGTTAGGGCCAGTTCTATATGTTTTTGGGTCGTTAAAGGCATCAGAAAGCCGAGAAACCCAGTCTTACCACCCTCTAAAATGTTTGACTGTCCTGTGACGTCATCTGGGGTAGGATATCAATAAAGCACCGAAATCTTTTGCATTCAGGCCAAGCCACACAAGGTGCCATGTAAGATATCAATCTAACAGTGAAGTACAACTAGTCAGCTTTATTTTATCACAACCGCGAACAACAACAGAATATTGGGGGCCAGAAAGCCTTCATTAGCATATTAAACAAAGGGATAGTGATACTGACAATGGTACATAAGTCGACCCTGGAGCTGTATTTGTCGCGAAAAATATAATCCTTTCTCAATGAAATTGACGAAAGTCTGATTGCAAGGAAAAAAAAAATCGAGTCGCGACGTGTTTGTGACACTTATGGTTGACATCGTTGTATTCTAGCCACCACAACATTAGTCTTTCGTCTCTGCTGCTGCCTCCGCAATAGCAGGTGCAGCATTCCGATCTCTCTCCAGATCTACTAACGTGTAAGATTTTTCTGATTGTCTGTTCGGGCGTGAACCCAGCAGTAGGCCCTATATCTTTAAAATGATCAGCCCCTTTTAGGTGTCCAAAATGGCAATTTATCCCCGATTGCACATAGCGTTTAAAAAAAAATTGTCAGCTGTCGGCGACATTGATTGTTCTATATTCCACAATATGAGCGCTTTTAACGAGCCCAAAATATACACAATTGACCCTAACACGAACCCACCTACGTTCCACGAGAGAGTAAAGCCTAGGTCTCACGACTGTGTGCAGCCTAAGTCTCCCCCCCCCCCATTCCCCCAAAATAGAAACCACCCAAAAAACCGCATCCTTCCGATTGCAATAACACACAGAAAAATGCACACACACACACACACACACACACACACACACACACACACACAACAGCACAAGAAGCACACTTTGCACAGCACAAAACTGCACGACAAACAATATGCCAAATTACTAACTATACGAATCATCATCTACCACAACATGAAATATTAGACTGTCCAGTGACTGTGGAATTCCCGTGTTTGGGGGTAGATATTGGGAAAGTACCGGTAATAAACACCCTTCTATGACCAACGGGAGCCTTCGTGGTCTAGCGGCTAGACGCTCGCCTGCGGATCGGAAGGTCGTGGGTTCGGTTCCTGAAGGGGTCAGATTTAAAAAATAAATTATCTTGACTGCCAAGTCGACTCAGCCTTGAGTGGGTACAAAGTACAGTCATGGGAAGCAAAGGCGGCTGGTGTAATGCTGACCACATCACCCAACAAGTGCCGTTTGGTCTATAAAATATAGGTCTAGCCCTATATACTAAAATACGCATGAAAGACGTGTAAAAGGGTCCTTTACTTACTTTTACCACTTTTTTTTTTTAAGCCGTGGCAGTTCTGCCAGGCGGTGGCCTTGCTCCATTTGTAGAAAGGGGTCACCCTTTACATGGTGTGACACTGTACGAGTGTTTTTTTTGGCACAGGAGCGGAGCAACTATGACCGTTTGCTAACATACTGATTTCATGTTACTTTTACCGACCAGTGTTTTTTCGAGTTGGTGACTACGTATGCATGTGTTAACGAGGTTTTGTCTCTACTTGCTTCTTTTGTGTTTGGAGTCATTAAACTGCCAAATATGGCGGTGACCATGAAATGATGAAAGAGAATCTTCAGTTAGCCGTGTAACTAAACTAAGTATTACAACCTAAAGGTTTGTGATTAACTAAGAACGCAAGGGTCTTTTCTGTTTAAAAAAAATTTTTTTTTTTTTTTTTTTACATAGTCAGTTTATTTTATATTGCTGGATTTATAAAGTTAAAGGAGGGCACTTGCGGTCGTCTGCTTCCTTCATGGTTCGGTTCGAAGTTAGGAAGTAAGTTTAGAGTTTAGTAGATTGTCGAAGGAGTCTTCTTCTTCTTCGAAGAAGTGCATCATAATACATAAAAAATAATGAGGAATGAAAAAAAGGGAAAATGACAAAATTGACTACTTAGTGAGAATTGAGGCCTTTATATCGGAAAATTGTAAAACAGAAGTTGCAAACAATGCTCGAAAATCTGCTCTTTGTGGTTGTAGTACCATTGAAACTCAGCTAAATATGATCGGAACAAGGCGGGGCTAGTGCCACATTGGTAACGCAGTTTTCACCGGCGAGAGTATCCCCAGCGCCGCTACGCGCGGCCCGGAGGGTGGCTAAAATAGATGGCTGGGACTCACGAGCAAATAAAATAAGGAAGCTGCACGATGTGGTAGCTGCTGCTTGTGAGTTCCAGCCATCTAGTCTAGCCCCACTCCGCACCGTGCGTAGCGGCGTGGAGAAAACTCTTTGCGGTGAGTTTAACTTGGCGGTTTGTTGCGTATTGCGACATTAGCGCCGAAAAGGTATCATACTTTTGCTGCAGTATATTCGCCGGAAAGAAGTCCTCAATTTACATGTGGTTGAGTTCCTGTCAAGGTGTGTTTTTAGCCGCCATAATATGTGGCCGTTATTCTAAGGATAGCCGGACACCAGAACCCACACTGATGAAATGATGAAGGAGATGGAGCACGTGTGAGATTGTTCCAAATGCAAAGTTATTTCAGTTCTTGATTAATTTAATTAATTAATATTCACTCAGTGGTTTCGAAGCAAAGAGCAGATAGTTCATTTTAAATCATTCCTGGTCCAGCTGGGCAAGTCCTGAGGTGCCATACAACAAATATCACATCAAAAGTTGTTGATATTTTGGTCCTACAACAACAATTTCTACTGCCTCCTCTTAATTTAATCTTTGAGTTTCCTCTTCTTCCCTCCTTGTTCCCCCTTTTCTCCTCATACTACTTCTGCTTTGTCTTCTTCATATTATTTGCTTTCTATAAGCTGATATGCCTTGTTAAATATTTTCAAAAGAAATCGTCAACCAGCTTAACTTTGGAGTCTTGTGTCTGCACCTGTTTCTAACCACCAAGTGAACGACTCAGATTTCTTCAGCAATGGTTATTGCCATTGGTTTTGAGGGCAGTGCTAACAAGCTTGGCATCGGAATCGTGAAGGATGGAGTTGTTCTGTCCAACCCAAGACATACCTACATAACACCTCCTGGACAAGGTATTATTTTGTTGAATGTATTGTTGTAGTGAGTGTTCTGTGTTTCCAGGTGCTTTATTGACAGGTCTATTAGATCACGTTTCCTCACACCCTTATACTCTGAGGCTTTTAGGAAAAGTCAGTTGGGATGGCAAGAATCAGCACGGTCGTTTGGAGAATCAGGAATGCTTGTAAATAATGTTTTTATTTATGTAAAAACTAATGGCATTTCTATATTACTTACTTAGTTGCTGCTCGTCTACCTTGGATGTAGATGTTTGCCAGATTTCTCTGTCAGCAGTTTCCTTTCTGGCTTTATTTAATTCCAGTCCTTTGCCCAGTCAACGACTGTCGGATGTTTCCTTCCCAGCGGACCCTGGGTCGCCCTGGAGGTCTGATTACCTGGTGCTTTGCCTTCCATGCCAGCCATGGTTGCTGTTTTTCTACCATTCTGCATACATGTCCAGGCCATCATAACCGTGACGTATCCACTCGAGTTTGTAAGGACTGGGTATCAAGATCTTGATATATTGTCTGATTGCGAAATTTTCCCCTTCTTGTCACTTGGACCATCTTTCTCAGATATCTCATTTCTGAGACCTAAGCTGGTCTCTGTGAGCTGTATATCTGTATTAAAGGGAAAAAAATAATCTGTGATTCACATTTGTGCACTGTTAGATGAATTCCAGATCTGAACTAGACAGTAAACCAGTTGTACATTTGATACAGCTGATGGTTGAATCGTGAACCATCTTGCTGCTGAATAGAGACCTAAACTCTATGCCATTGGTATGTTGGTAATAACAATAAAGATCAAATCTGTTAATCAAGTTCAGTGTTTTAAGATATGGCAAGTTTGTACTGTTTTCATGTAATTATTGCAGTGGCTCAGTTGGTAGACACTTACCTGCTGACCTGAATATCTAGGGTTCAAATCCACATCAGTACTGATTTTCTTGTGAAAACTGATAGGCTGCCACTATGAGAGGCTGCCACTATGAGCTATAGGAAAGATTGTCAGAATTTCCAGCTTCCTCTTCTCTTGTATCTCCATGCCCACACTGTCCTCCTTTGTGTCCACCTCTGTGCTGGTCTACCCCTGCTTCCTCTATTTGTTTCTTCTTCTTTTGTCCAAAACACTTTGTGCTAGTAAACCCTAGCTTCCTTTGGCCTCCTCTTGTTGTCTTTTTGTCCAAAATCTGTTTTGTTAGGCAAGGTATTGCAGTTTAACATACAGATACGTAGTCGCGAGTTCAGGTCCTGTCGGAGCCGGACTTAAAAAAATAAAATTACATTTTCCCCAGGTCAACACCACCTTAAATAGGTACCAGGTAAAGTCCTGGGAAGTAAAGGCATCTGGTGTGATGCTAACCACATCATCCACTGAGTGCCCATTGGTCTATAAAGTATAGTTATATCCCTATATGTCCAATACACCTGAGGGTGTCTTTTACTTTACTTAAATTAATATATTATGTAAGCATGTTTATTTTCAAAGTTTCTAGAGAAATTAGGAGGCCTCTTCTTCTTCTCCTTCACTTCCTCTTCAACTCTGCAAATTTCAAGGGAGATATAAGCTTCTGTTTCTTGCTGTTATATAGTTTTTTTTTTACAGTGGTTTTCTTTCCACATTGTTCTTTGTCTGCCTCGTGATCTGCATCCTTCTTTTCTTTTGGTTATGTCCTGTGTGTATGAAAAGGCTTGTTAAGCAAATTTGTTAACATAAACAGTAAGTCTTCCAGTTTGCCTGCCTACTTATTGGTCTTGTCTTTTGGCGGGGGGGGGGGGGGGGGGGGGGGGGGTTATTTTAAATGTTATTTGTCAGATGTTTAATTAAATATTCCATTGTCGAATGTATGAGCTGCTGTAGCATGCTGGCTAGAGGCTTGCCTGCTGGTGAGGGTCTAGGGTTCAAATCCATATTGAGGTGGATTTTTTCATATCTGACCTTACGTCTCAGGTCGACCCAACACAGAATGGGTGCCAGGTAATGTCTGGGAAATAAAGGTGACCAGTGAAAAATAAGCAACATCACCCATTGAGGGCCAATTAATAGATACAAATTTGAGTTTGCTCAATGCACCACTGAACCACCAGCAACTAAAGTTATAAGAGAAAGAAGATGGTGTTATATTGGACGCATCCTGAGAAGACACGAGCAGAGAATCACCAAATAGGCACTAAAATGGGAACTAAAGGATTGAGGAAGTGAGGATGCCAAAAAAAGAAACCCTAAAGCAAATGTTAATCACTAGTGTAAAAAAATAGATGTTTGTTTATTGCAGAATGCAAATGAATATTCTTTTGTTGAATGTAACTAATGAAAGGTTCCTTTCTGTACTACAATGTGCTGCTATTTCATGATCAGGATTTCTTCCGAAGGACACAGCCAGACATCACAGAGAATATGCACTGACAGTTTTGAAAGAAGCCCTTGAGGAGGCAAATGTGAAACCAGAGGAAATTGATGTTGTTTGTTACACAAAAGGTAGGCAGTATAGATAGAAGCTTAGTGCAGTGCTTGAATAACTTGTCATATGTTATTGAGATCTGGTGTTATTATTTACCCAGAACTAGTGTCAGTATTGACTGAGGTCTGGTGTCAGTATTTACCCAGAACTGGTGTCAGTATTTACTGAAATCTGGTGTCAGTATTTACCCAAAACTGGTGTAAGTATTTACTGAGGTCTGGTGTTAGTATTTACCCAGAACTGGTGTCAGTATTTACTGAGATCTAATGTCAGCATTTACCCAGAACTGGTGTCAGTATTTACCCAGAACGGGTGTCAGTATTTACTGAGGTCTGGTGTTAGTATTTACCCAGAACTGGTGTCGGTATTTACTGAGATCTGGTGTCAGTATTTACACAGAACTGGTGTCAGTATTTACCCAGAACTGGTGTCAGTATTTACCCAGAACTGGTGTCAGTATTTACTGAGAACTGGTGTTAGTATTTACACAGAACTGGTGTCAGTATTTACCCAGAACTGGTGTCAGTATTTACCCAGAACTGGTGTCAGTATTTACTGAGATCTGGTGTCAGTATGAGGTCAGGTGTTAGTATTTACCCAGAACTGGTGTCAGTATTTACCCAGAACTGGTGTCAGTATTTACCCAGAACTGGTTTCAGTATTTACTGAGGTCAGGTGTTAGTATTTACTGAGATTTGATGTCACTATTTACCCAGAACTGGTGTCAGTATTTACTGAGGTCATGTGTTAGTATTTACCCAGAACTGGTGTCAGTATTTACTGAGGTCTGGTGTCAGTATTTACTGAGGTCTGGTGTCAGTATTTACTGAGGTCTGGTTTCACTATTTACTGAGGTCTGGTGTTAGTATTTACTGAGATTTGATGTCACTATTTACCCAGAACTGGTGTCAGTATTTACCCAGAACTGGTGTCAGTATTTACTGATGTCTGGTGTAAGTATTTACTGAGGTCTGGTGTTAGTATTTACTGAGATTTGATGTCACTATTTACCCAGAACTGGTGTCAGTATTTACTGAGGTCATGTGTTAGTATTTACCCAGAACTGGTGTCAGTATTTACCCAGAACTGGTGTCAGTATTTACTGATGTCTGGTGTAAGTATTTACTGAGGTCTGGTGTCAGTATTTACCCAGAACTGGTGTCAGTATTTACTGAGGTCTGGTGTCAGTATTTACTGAGGTCTGGTGTCAGTATTTACTGAGATCTGGTGTCAGTATTTACCCAGAACACTGAGATCTGGTGTCCGTATTTACTGATTTATTATGTCATTATTTACTGAGAAATAATGTCATAATTTAATGGGATTTAATATCAGTATGTGCAGAAGTTTTTTTGTGTCAGTATTTACTGGGATTTGTGACAGTATTTATTGAGATCTTATTTTAGCACTTATTGAGATATCATGTCAGTATTTAGTTAGATCTAGTGTTAGTAGTTAAAGAGATCTGGTGTTAGTATTTAATGAAATTGTACGTCTATTTACAGACATTTGGTGTCAGTTTTTACTGCTGTAAGTAGTTACTGAAATTGGTTGTCTGTATTGTCAAGTTATTCTGGCAGGAAATGTTATGAGAAGCAAAGCTGGCCCGCATAATATTGTTCCCATTACGGATGAAGGTGCATGCATTTCGTAGATCATGTAAGGTTTTTGCTGGAGCTTCGGAATTCATGTTTTAGGTGATGCTCTTGGCAGGCAGCCAGCCACTCTGCAGAGAGAGAAACTGAGCCGTGTGGGAAAACCCATTGTAGTGAAGTGGATCTCTTGCCTTGGGCTAGTTAATATCGTTTGGATATTTTTTCCAAGTCATCCTGATGTGTTGGGAAATTAGCAGGCAGATAGACTGACTGGTTCTGCACCACTTGGTGGTGAATCAATACATAAGAAGCTAGATGTTGTAAGGGCCCTTTAAAAACGAGTAAACAGTGCGGAGATGCAGATAGATCATTACAGTCTGAGAAGAATGGTGCTGCAATTGTGACTGGGAGATCTGGCAAATGCTCAACACTGAGGAAAAAGGCAATAAAATTACACTATCAGACGGTTACTGATGCTTTGAGATTAGAACTTTTTGCTTGCTGCTGAAGATAGGGATGGAGCACTTCAGGGAATGTTCCGAGTGCTGTGACGCTGATTCCTAATACAACATTCAAGCCTTCAAACACCCTTTCAAACATTCTAAAATAACCTCATGTTTTATAAAGATAGTTTCATGTATTTATTTTTGAAAATTCTGTTGCAGGCCCAGGCATGGGTGCCCCTTTAGTCGCCACTGCTCTAGTGGCCCGAACAGTTGCCCAGCTGTGGAAGAAGCCAATAGTTGCTGTCAACCACTGCATCGGGCGTATCCTTCAGCCTGGTCATGTGGCAGTCATAATGGTTTTCAGACATGTTTTAAATGTTGAAAAAATTACTCTACATCATTACAGGCTTTTTTTAAGCACGTCTTACTGATGTTGTCTGCAGTTTTGCCAGTTCTGTGGAAGCTTTCAATAGTATGGTAAAGTCGGTTTGAAGATATGGTGTCTGTTTTTAAAAAGTTAGTTGGGTATCTTTGACTAACAAGAAATTGCAGAACCAGCTACATCATTTTTGGTTGTTTAGGTTTACTAGGCAGTTTTACTTTCAGTAGTTTGCCATTGCTTTTTAAATGGTCAGTCTCAGTAACATTGTTAGAATAAATGCAGAGCAGTCCGCTTCCAAATCGCCTGTGCCTGGAATCGAACAGGTATCCAGAAAATACGAAGCATATTCCCGCAAAAGCCACAGATGCCTGTCTGCAACTCAGAAATTCTTTTTTACCCTTGTAAAGTGGTTCTCAACCTTTCTAATGCCGTGACCCTTTAATAAAGTTCCTCATGCTGTGGTGACTCCCTACCATACAATTATTTTTTGTTGCTACTTCATAACTTTAGTGAATATGTGTTTTTCTGATAGTGTTGGGCGACCCTTGTGAAAGGGTGGTTCGGATCCCAAAAGGGTCACAACCCACAAGTTGAGAACCACTACCTTAGTAGATGGGAAGATTGATTTTATTGCTTCTGGAGTTGTTTTCTATAAGGACATTGAACTTTTCCATTTCAAGCCACAATTTGTGTAATAGTGGTTCCCCTTTGACTTTTTAGGTTATGAACAGCAGTCAGATTCTTCTTCTTCTTTTAACCCACCGCTTATGCTGTAAAGTATCACAGAGAGGAGTTCGATGTAGTGTTCTGTCTTTTACTAGTTGCCTAGCTTGTGTTTATGTCATATTGCATTTCTGTAGTGTCTCTTTTACTCCCTCCACCCATATCTTTCTTGGTTGACCTCTTGACCTAACCTGCTGTTCTCATGTAGTACACTCTAACAGCTGGCAGTTTTTTGGTCCATTTTGACCAGATGGCCAAACCATTTGCTTCTCTGATGTTTTGTGAAATCATTTACTGGTACTTTGCCTACCATTCTTAATTATTACAGTTAAATTTACCAGATTAGTGTACTTTGTTCTGAAAGATTGCTTGAGATTATTTATAGTTGGCAGCCAAAGATAAGTTAGCTTGCAGTGATGGAATATCAATGTAGAGGGTAAGATTGTCTATAAAAATGAGCAATTTCTTGACTGTAAGAAGACATTGAGATGGGGCGGTTGATTACTGGCGCTCAGAATCCCACAGTTCTCTATGTCAGTGGAGGAAACACACAGGTACACAGAAAATAATCATTGTTCTCCGATCTGAATGCCATATTTGAGTTTTGTTTTGTGATAAGCGGCTGTGTAAGTAATCACAGTCTGTTTTTTTTTTTCTCTGTCGGATCATTGTGTTGTCTTATCAGGGATTGCTATTTGATGCACATTTCCAATGGAGAAGCGTGTTTATTACGATTGTAATGTGTTGGAGTAGGGTGAAGGCTGAAAGAAATCCTAGCCTCAACCAGCATGCTGTGCTCGCAATGTTTTGATTGGGATGATCCATTGTCCTTGTAGATAGAAACTCATCATCAGGGAACTGCAGCTGTTTAAAGAGCAAACTCAGGAAAGTTTGAATTGTCTAAGTCCTGGGGACATATGGACTGTGTTGTGTGACAGTTTTAACAATGTGGTTTTATTCTATTGGAGCTCGTAACTGTCTGGATGCCTGTGGTGGATGGGTTGAACTTAATTATTCTGTCAAAGTTCTTTTCTAGAACGGCCAGGTGTGTGGGGGTCAGCACAGTTGCAGCTGTGTGGCATGCTGGTTGATAGGGCGTCCTTAAGTGCTACAGAAGGTGCTGTAGTAACTTTATGTGTGTTGGCCAACATGGAGTTGTGATGGGGAGGTATTGGAGGCTGGTTAACTGGATGTTGATCAGTGATACTTCAATAAGTGACTATGTAGCAGACGGGAGGACTGGTTTCTTTCCATCAAGTGGTGCATCTACCTTGGGTCCTGGTGTGACGGGGTCCCTTAGAGGGAGAATTTTTAGAGGACTGTCACTAAACATTACCTGTGTGTACATCCTTGATCAGGCATGAGTTGCCCATAGCAGCCACCTTTTCAGTAGTTTGCTAGGTTGTATTGTCCTTGTGTGGAGAGACTGCCTGTGTGAGTGGATTTGGCAGGAAATAGTAGAATTGACAGTCATTGATCACCAATTCATCTTTGTCTTAATTTGTTTGTCCATAATAAAGATACTGATCACACTGTAAGGTCATACATGGTGTAGTGTGTGTATCACAGTACTTGTAGACAATGTTGGTGATTATGCTAGGACATGTAACCTTTGTCAGGTGTATTGTGGTCGTTAACTTGTTACATGTTCCTGGCTTTTAGTGGTGCTGTTGTTTGGGTTGGCCTTCCTTTACTTCACTTATAATCACTATCAGCATGTGCTGTGCCAGTGAGATTGCAATGGTTTGTGGACAGAGGAAATCATGTGTGTATGTGTGGAGGACCAACATCTATAAACAAATGCTCTAGATACTTGGTGAGCATGCGGTACATCACCTGACCGC